TACATCCTTCTCTGCCCCCTCTTCTCTCTGCTTCACCACCTTTCTCTTTCCCTTCCTGGTTTTACTTCAACCTATCCCAGACTTTGTCTCTTCCAAGATAGATCTTAAGATGGGCTTTAAAACTGAGGAGAGAATGGGTGAGGTGGAGGGACTCTAGGATTAAGTTTCAGAGAGATTGTTTTAAATCTCGGGATGTTCATCCCAATCTTTGATTATACAATTAATTTTAGGATCTGTCTGTCTTCACTGTCACTATTTCAGAGAAAGTTGGGAGTCTTGCTTATTGTTGCCACCAAATCCATGTTGACCTGCTGCCCCACCCAAACTCAAATGTGGCTGCTCATTTCACCATCGTTTATGGGACTTTGTTAATGCAGATTAGCTTCTACGTTCACTTCATTTTTGATTAATTAGATTTTGCAAAGCACTTTGAGGCATTTATTTTTACATGTAAAGTGCGCTAAAAATGGAAGTTGTAATTTTTAATTAATGTTATAATAGAATACAATACAAATTTCCTAACAACTAACTACTTTTATTTACTTTTAGTTTAAATCTTTCCGATAATATGAGCTAACCTTAGGTTTTATGATATGTTTGACAATATGAGAAGTTGAAGATAAAGCTATTCTTGGACCTATATTATAAATATAAAACACTATTTATAAACACATGTAAGTGTTCAGAATGTAGTGGAAACAGATGTACAAGTACAGTTCCCATCGGGTGGTGGGTATGGCTATAAAATATAAGAAATAAAAGAAAAACAATGTCTTAACATGCATACTATTTTAATCCAAGTTGATTAAGGTGTAGTATACAAAAATTCAAATTCTGCAAATTTTCTGAACAACTGAATAGTGATGATCTAGTCTGCATACTTACAGTGGGTTAAAATATATTCACAGAACAATTTACTTCAACTATTTTATAGGTAATAGAGTTTAAACTGCAGCAATTCTGAACAGATGTCTTAATTAACAAATTTCTAAAATGTGGAATGTACTGAATAATGCATTTTTGCACATTTAATGTTTAAGAAATATGTTAAGAAATACTAAAATAAAACCCAATGACAAAAAGTACAGGATCTTTGTGTGATTACAATGACTGAAATTGAAAGTACTGAAAAGTACTGTTCACTTGAGAGAATGAGACCTTTCAAATAATACAGTATTTTACAGATGAGTTATAGGAGGAAAACAATCCTTTACATCAATATAACAGTTTGTACACCAGGGAGACTGGAGATCTAGGAACAAGGCAATATGTTTCAGTGCAACACTATAAGTTACTTCTACAGCTGTAATTTCTCATGATCCAGTGGTACACACAAAGAAAATGAGATCAGCTGTTTGTCAAACTACTTGTTAATTAATCATTCATACAACATAAACAGCTAGGAAGTGTTTCATAAAAATATGTGCGTCCCCATCCACTTTAAAAAGTTTTTAAAAGGCAAAAACTGCGAACCAAACAAATGCTAACTACAGCTGTATAATCATCAGCACAGACTGCAAATTCCAGAAGTTGACTGTACTGCAGCCAAACCAAACATCAACCAACAGTATTGCTAACAGTTGCAGATAATGTGAACTGAGGTTAACCTTTCGTTGCCCAATGAAAATTAAAGAACATGTTACCTCGAGCTCAGAGCAGTGCTTTTGATTCTAAATTTATAAAATTGTATTGAATATATGGAAATTGGTGTAAAGGAACTAGTGTAATAGAATAAATTTAAATAAAACCAAGGGTAACAGTTCCAGTTGAAGAAAAAAAAAGGTGGTTTAATGAATTACTTGGAGGTTTTCAGCTCAGAGGTACAAGATTGGTTTGGATGAACGAGGACCTTCGGCCTATCCTACCATCCCCAATCACAGCATCAAAAGGCTTTTTGAATGAGTCCAGTGTCCTGGCCCCTACCACCTTTCCTGACAATAATGTGTTTTGAATGTAGCCCAGGCTAACCCATGAAAAGTCCTCTTTGTCCATTGGATTTAAAGTAAGTTTGTGCAGCCTGCCATTTAGCCTAAGCTGCCATTATTCACCTCAATGTACATTCTCACTCAAAAGCTAATTGGATATAGTTATGTTGAATTGAAAAAAATACTCGTGCAATAGAAGTGCTCTTCTGAGGTTGGGGATATTGTTGGACACTGGAATCTTGCTATACCTCATCTGGAAGAGTTGATGCAGACACTAAGTGCCAGGTGAGTCATTCGTTCCACATTTTGACTGTTTCTATTTCCAAAACAATGACGATTGGAGATGCAATATCAATCATAATAATAATCATAATAATTCTTGCATTTGATACAGAACCTTTCGCATTTGGAGGACGTCTGTAAACGTTTCAAAGGATTTACTGTAAAGTGTAATGACTGTATTTTGTAGGAAAACACAGCAGCCAATTTGAACAGTGATGAGAACCACTAAACCCTGAATCATCTGATCATTTTGATTGGTACTTTCTTAGCCAATATACTTGTTAAGAAGGGCAACTTTATTAATTAAAATGCTAAGAATTAAAAGCTAACTAAATTATCTGGCAAGCTACTACTTCATAAATTATTGAATAGTTATCTCCCAGCTGAGTATTACTTGTGGAGAAAAATCTGTTATCTTTTCATTTATTGCTAAATCAGTCTTCACTTCAGAGGTCCATAGGTGTCTCGTTTTACTACTACACGTTTGTAAGCTTCTAAAATTATTGATTATATTGCTGCAATTGTGATGCTATATTTATCGAATAGGAGATGTACGAATCAAACTTGAACAGATCATGTCATTAAAAAACTATGTTGAAAGTTATGAGGTTTTATCCCTAACTCAGAAACCAGCACAGAAAGGCATTGCTATGTTGGATATATTGTTCTCTCGATACGCATAAAGTGAAGATCCACCTTGGCACATTTGTAAAATGAATCAACAAAATGATAAATTAAGAGACAATTTTAAGAAGTAATTGGCCCCTAATTCAAATTCAAGAAATCAGTAATTCACAATTCTAATGTTGATACTTAGTTCCCTTGTTTCTCAAAAATTGCTTTTTTCTGTATGTTGAACAACAGAATCTGTAACTCTGATTGTAAGCAGGGAATACTCATTTGTATATAAAAAATGGTGAATGAGAAAGAATCTTATTATGTGGAAATTTACTAACTTTATTAACGGTAGATCTATACCAATTATTTGCAAAACTGATCTAATGAGATCCTTTCACACGTTTGCAATTCTTCCCCTTTTTTTGTTCAGATAAAGTCTTTGGAAAGGTGCTGCAAGCTGTTCTCAGGCCTCTTCCAATTCTGCTCTGAATCAGCAAAAAGAGGAGCACAAAGAGCAGCTCCCTCAGATTTTCCGTGTTTCTAGGAAGTGTTTGACCATATGCCAACTCCCCATGTGCAATTTCAGCATTTTCTGACATTTCAGTTCTCCAGCTGTTTTTCTTTTTACCTTTATTTTTTCCGTAGTGTTTTGTTACATTATAGATTATAGCATAATCAACAGGTCTTTGTTTGTCTCTTAGCCCTGTCCATTAGTGAGTGCATGTGCTACACCTAAATAAAATTGAATTTCTATACAAGAAACATTTAAAAATTCAATTCTGACTTTAGTGAGTTGCACAGAATGTAGATTGTTACTATAGATTCAGGTGGCTTAAACATTTCACCAAAAATCACCTATGTTTCCCATTTCTTGTTGTTGAAAATGTTTTCCATTATTTAAAAAAATCTGCAATAAATTATTTAATTGTATCAATTTCCTTAAAAGTTTATTCTGCCTGACATCCATCCAATGTTTAAAGTTTTAAACCAGCTGGTCTTGGAAGGATTTTACAATTTAGGTGTTGAAAATTGCTTTAGTTTCATTGAGGTTAAGAACATCCAATAGAATAGTGTAGGCAAACATAGCAAAACAATTACTCTGCTAGTGTAACAGGCACTTTTACATTTTAGGTATAGAAGTTTGTATGTATTTTCTTGACAATTGACTCTTATTTAGATTTAAATTAGACTTAATTACTATATGCACTCAATTTACGTGTACATTAGAGGAAGAAAAATGTGGCATGTGATGTGATAATTATCACACATCTCACTTTTCCTCCTGATGTGAAAGGCGCTATACAAATGTAATTTTGTTGTTGTTGTTTTCACCCTTTGGTGTGATTAATGTACTTCATTAATAGCTCTTCCATTTAGCAGAACAAACATATCTTTGAAGCCTGTTAAGGATTCTCACTTTGTTTTTCACTTAGAAATGAAAACATGGGAAGTCTGTTAGCACCACTTCCACCCTCATACACAGGCAATAGTAAAATACAACATCATTTTAGTTCTATAATCAGAGGCACAGATTTATAATGTTCAGTTTGTTGGCATCATAGGCCCCAAATGCCACCTGAAGACCATTTCTTTTTAAATTCAAAATTGTACAGAATTGTGGAAAGCTCAAATTTAGCCTTAATTTCGAAGATGGTTCTTTTTAAGAAATGTGTAAAACCAGCTTCCAATTTGAGACTGAATTCAAGAATTTTCCACAATTTTACATACAAACAACAGCTTACACTATATAGCTCCCTTTATGTTGGGTAATGTCTCAGAGTGCCAATGTACAGGGATGCTGAGCAATGGATGCTGAGCAAGGTTGAGCGAAAGCGAGGTAGGTTAGGTGAGAGATAAGTTTTGAGGCGGAACGTAAAGCCAGAAAAAGGGAGTGAGTGGAATGCAGTCGTCTTACACGATAAGACTAAGTAGAATTTTGGATATTGTGATAGGGAGTAACTGAATACAGGGCAACTCCGTTATATATGTTCTATCCTGATGCAAGATAAACTCATCTTTTGGTGCTGACAAGCCTGCTTCCTCTACTAAAAGATGTCCAACTTCTCAGTGGTCAGGTTGATGCTGATGACATTTCTTGAATGTTGAACATAAATGTGATATTCACAGGGAGTGCCCGACACCTGACTGTTCACCACTTTGGGACGTTCTCCCGACGTGAAAGACGCTCTATAAATGTAATTTTGTTGTTGTTGAAATCATCTTGTCTTCATGGGATGGTCTCCTGATGAGAAAGGAACTATATATATTGTAAATGTCTTTGTTGTACTGTATTTTGAGGCACTTTCTGTGCATAGTGTGCTGGAAGTGACATCAATGACAATCTGATAACCTGGAAGTAAACCGTTTTTTCATGCATCACTATGCAGTAATGCAGTTGGTGAGATATTGGAGCCAGCCAACTGCATTATAATGCGATTTCCGCCTATCTAGTCAACCATTTGCCAAGAATCTAGCCAACTATTTGCCAAAAGGAGGCATCACAGCTGAGTCTGTTTCTAACCTGACCTACACATTCCTCCTGGAGCATGGGGAGTGATCAATAGTGGAAACCCTGGTGGATTTTTCCCACCCTTAAACTGGGCACTGATTTCAGTTACAGCATTCCTGTGGCTCTCCAGCTGAAGCTTTAACCAAGGCCAGCAATCAAAGTTTCCCAGTTTGGTGCAGCTACTCACTAAGATATCAGAAGGGCACTTCAAAGAATCCGTATTCACTGTCACAATCAGGGTTTGCTGGTTTGAATGAATTATAGCCTCCACTGAGTTTCTTTAGTTGTTTTCTAAACGAAACATCCCATTTTAAAAAAAGGACCTTTTCTTTAAAAAAAATATTGAAAGCTGAGTTGCAAAATAAACGTATGTTCACAATTATCAGCCAAACAAATAAAAAAAACTTAAAAACAAGTTCATATAGTCTTTCTTGATATTATGCTTCTTACTTGTCCTGTCCTGAGAAACAAAATATCTGGCTGAATGTATATTAGGCATTGAAATACATGCTTGAGTTGCATTTTATACACATGACTGAGAGCGTGGATGGTGCATTAACTGCACTAACTCTTTATCCTCCACCCAATTCAAACTTGGGCACATAATAATATTTATTTATGATTACTTAAAAAAAACATATTCATCATTGTAAAAAGTGCACTTCCCAATGTTTATCGCGAAATCTGTAACACCAACAGAAAAGTGTAACATTTAAGCATTTTACGTTCCACAGAACATCTGAGATCCTAGATTTTTTTTAAAAGAGACAATTTCACTAAAACAGCATAACAAATACAAAACTCCTTTTCCGTTTGATACAAGCTGCTGAACACTGTTGGAAATACCAGTTTTGTCTTCAATCACTATTACTTTGCACTTTTCAATCATTTAAGTAGCTTTCCAAATCTGGGTACACCTTACACCCAGCTAAGCAATTTCAACTCATTATGGACACTGGAGATATTAACCAGCTCTTGTATTCCACAAAGCAGCACCTGGCTCTTGTTTGCAGTCCTCTTCAAATCCAGAGTTTGATGTTGTTGTTTTCTATTGTTCTTGCTACAGATTTTGTGGAGAACAATGTTTCATTGGAGAATTTTTCTGAATGTGGATAACATTGGGTTGAATCACAGTGTAGCTATCTCTCAAGTGAACTGAATGTTTTGCAGCTACTATAATTTACAGGAAGAATTCTTGTAACTCTCTGTCCTTCATGCTTTTATTGAATAATTTCTTCTGCATAGGATTCTTGAAGTCATCATTAAAGTGGTCGTGCCTATAACAAAAGACAAATTAAAATGTAGTTAGATATTTAGATCTTAAATTCACAAGTTACACAACTTGTTTTCTTTTCAAAAACAACTTGAGACAAAAACAATGAAAGATAAAGTGCTAATAAACTTTCTGTGAAGTAATCGGAGACTGAGATATTATACTAAGAGTATCTTCCATTATCTTCTTCCATTATCTTCCCTCTTCTGCTTTACTCCTCCACTCCACACACTCCCTAACAATCTGAAATTTGTGGGTTCCTGACAAACATTAATATAACACAAATCAAGGGATGACATTGATTTCTGGAGACAAAGTGTGCCAATGCTCACTGAGACTGTGAATGGGAAAATGGAGAGCTTTGCTATTGGGTTGTTTTTTCTTTCACATTTTCTTTTTGTAAAAAAAGTCTATTTTATTATGAACAAACATTTTTGCTACAGAAATTAAAAGTAAGCTTATGCTTATTGTGCTGTGAACAGTAATTTACTTTCGGGGATGCAAGGGAGAAAATGAAAATCAATGAATCTTTTGGCTCCATAAATAATGTTTTTTTTAATTCAAATCTATTTTTCAGTTAAAAAAATCCTACTTGGATGAAATCAGGTAGTTGAAAGTACACTTTGAACCAATTTTATTTTGGGGAAACTTGCAGTGCACTATATTTATATGATCAGTAAGTATTTATTGGTCAATAGTGATCAAGGTCTCTATTAAAAGTTTGCTTAAAACTTAAAATAGAATTAGAATATCTAATTTGGGCAACCTGTCACAAAACAAGAGCTGCAATGTGTCAGTAATGTGCAGTTTGTCCTCTGATAAATATTCTTTGTAAATGTGATGAATGTAACATTACAGAATAGGTGACAAAGGTTATGTTTGTGAAAAGATCTTTTAAATGCAATTATAGGCATAGATTTGAAACTGTTTCAACATTGCTTAACAGTTAATCGCTTTTTCGTTCGAAATATAGAGAAAAACATAGTTAACTGAAAACCAAACACATTTTTTGAATGGGCTACTGTGACAATGAACTGACAATGTTTCCGGCTACTATGACAATGAACTGACTTCTGATACTTAATAAGTTTGTGAAATAGCTTGTTTTTATGTTAATCAAAATCACTGTTTGTTTCAGTTCAATGACATGACCCATAACTTAGAAAAAAAACAATAAAACCAGTCAAATGTAACTTAAAGTAGTTATTGCTTTCAAACTATATAAATTTAAATTGTTAAGAAGATGAATAAGAATGGGTAAGGACTGCTCTACACCTGTTAGATGATGATAGAGAAGGTTAGTACTGAATATCTACACACTAATATCAATGTGCAATAATTTGTAAATAATGCAGTTTTTTTTAGGGGCATTAAAACATACCATGCTTTGTTTCCCTGAATCATTAAGCATGCAGGACGAGGAGGAGTGTTGCCGTTGCAAAAATCCTAGAAGAATTGAATGCTTATTTAGATCCACCAGATCAGAGAAAAGCCCCAGTCACCAAAGGGGAGCACATGCAGATTTTAAAAGAAGACTCTGTTTTCATGCGGATTGACTTTTTTTTAAAAAGAGGAAAACATAGGAAATTTAAGTGATTCACATTATTTCCCCTTCCAGAAATTGAATAAACAAGTAGTTTCCTCCTTATTCACCGAGCAGTTGTGAGAACACCATAACACTTTGAGTTATTTAACTTGCAGCTGTACAAATACCATCTTATCCTCCCTTTCCTTGTCCAACAGCTGGTGTATAGATACCTACTTCACTAGATTGTTTTTGTCCTCTGAACAAAATTAAACTGTATTAAAACTACAGTGCTCCAAATGGCCCTTTGATAAAAATTAAAAGTAAATTCACCATCAGAATTCATTTACGAAAATCAATCACAAACCCCTCTTATTATTGTTGATATACAAAGCCTGTTCTCTTCCAGTTTAAGTAATCCAACGATAATTTATACAGAAATGATCAGGCCTACCTGCCATCAATCTAACCCTCACCACATTAGATGTAAATTTCTTCAACTCAATTCTAACAATAATGGAGTTGGGATTTAAATACAGATGAGATATGTCAGTCCTAATATTTTCAGCTTCTGAATAATGGGTTTTGCTAGCCTTCTTAACATTCTGGTGAAAATGTTAGGAATCAAATATTTAAATACTGTAATTGATTCTTTAGTACTTTAGTATGCAGTGTTCTTTCAAAGACCCAGGACAGACACGATAGTCCGAATTACCTTCACCTGTGCTGTAAAGTTCCATGATTCTACCAGAGTCCTAACAGACACACGGTATACGGTGATAAAGATTTGACCTTATTCTATTTAGCATTCTCTCATGTCATACAGGGGACAATTATACTGTACTGCTAGAGTGTTTTGGTAAATGGAAATCTAAAGAAAATGTTTTAACAGAAAAAACATATTTTCAAACAAAAAAAACACAAAACAGGATATAAAATGCACGATATATAAAAGAAACACAGCTTAATAGATGAACATATCAAGGCACATTTTTACATAGGGTCATGCAGCTTTAAATAACTGATTTTGTTACCGACCCCATAGTGAACTCATTCCTTCGTAAAGAAACATAGCAGTGCTTTCCTGAAGAGCAAATATTATCTTTATCCAATTGTTCCTAATAAACAAACACTGTAGAATATATCGATAATTAATAAAGGGGCACAAATTTGAACTAGAAGTGTAACACATTTTAAATAATTTTTAATGTGCGGTACATATAAGAAGCACTTTTCAAACATTAGCATTGTTGGATTGTTGATCAACAACAACAAGATTACATTTGTACAGCGCCTTTCATGTCGGGAGGACGTCCCAAGGTGCTGGGCAATCAGTATTTTGGACCCGAGCTGGGGGTCAGGATCGGGGAAGGTGGAGGGCAGCAGGGGGAAGGAGGGTGACCGAAGGCACGGTCCAAGAGGAGGGTCTTAAGATGGGTCTTGAAGGAGGCAAGGGAAGGGGCGAGGCGGAGGGACTGAGGGATGAATTCCAGAGGGTGGGGGCAGAGTGGCAGAAGGCTCGCCTGCCAATGATGGGGTGGGGGACCTGAAGCAGTCCGGAGCTCGCTGAGTGGAGGGAGCGAGCAGGTTGGTAAGGGGTTAGGAAGTTGCAGAGATAGGGGGGAGCAAGGCCAAGGAGTGCTTTGAAGGTGAGGACCAGGATCTTGAACTGTATCCTCTTCCTCTGTGTGATGGGAAGCAAGTGGAGTCGGGCAAGGATGAAGGTGATAGGGTCGCGGAGCCTGGTGTGGGAGAGGACACGGGCTGCAGAGTTCTGGATGATCTGCAGCCTATGGAGGGAGGAGTTTGGGAGGCCGACAATCAGGGAGTTTGGGTAGTCAAGCCTCGATGTTATGAATGCGTGTTTGAACAGGGTTCTACAGTGTATGCTTCAGTAGGAGGCATTAACTTAATATTTATGTTTGCACTGCGATGTTTTGGTCTTGCACAAATCAGCAAAATGTCATGACATTCCAAAAACGTAAGGAAAAAATGCAAATAAAAGTTTTGCCAGAATTCAAAATTCCATTCAAATAATAAGCAAAATCAAACATCAAACACAGCTAAATGTCAGCCAAAAGATGTGAAGAACTCAGCAGTAAGACAGTGTTCTGGTGAAATGGTTATCATTTGATTGTTGTTCTTGTATTAATAATGAACTAGAGGGAAAAAGGATTGTGATGTCTGAAGGTCTGTTTCAAAAATACATTTATGTTGCTTGGAAATAAAGTAAAATCATAAATTTCAATAGAACAAAAAAAATATTTTTTAAGTTTTGAGATCTCACATTGATACTTTGAAAAGTTATATATAAAACAGGAAATAATCTACATCCAAGAAAAATAATTAAACTTTAGTTAAAAACATTAATGCTATAGAAATGGCACGCCTTCACTCTTTTTACAACTAGTGAAGACAGCTGTAGAGTAAATCAACATTGCTCAAAGGTGCTTTGAATGCCAACCTCAGGAGAGCAGAAGCATGAAGGTGTCCATTTCTTACCACAATTTAGTTCCCAGAGAAAAAAAGAGTCAGTGAGACACATGGGTCTTCAAAAGTTTTCAGAACTTTTTCCGTATTCCATACAAAAAGGCGCTTTGAGACGTCTCGAAGACGTGATAAGGCGCTATATCAAATGTAAGGATTATTATTATTATGTTCTCAATATAGTAGCAGTTTAAATGTGGAACATCAATCTTGGAACCATTCACCTGTCGATCATCTACCCTATACCATTTTGCTATTGATATAAAATTGTTAAATAATTAATATCAATCGCAACATATTATTTGTAATATACACACATGATTATTTTTTAAATTGTACTAAATTTTGATCTGTGTTTCATATCATGTTAACATGATGTGATGAGTATCACAAAGAACATGTTATCAAGTGCTGCAAATTTCACCTCATTAACTTTGTGTGTTACACGGGCATTAAAACCTTTTGTAAAGCACAGAACCAAAATAAGCTTAAGATTGTTCATTTACATTCCTCCACAATAAATCTGCACAAAATAATAATTGGTACTGATTTGAAAGGTTAATTTAATTTAAATTATACTTAATAGCTTTTATACAACACTCACTGTCTTGGTATTAACTTTTGTGGGAGTTAGAAGACTTGCTTTTGAACTTCCAGGTTTCCTTCCTATGGAATTCACTGGTAAATTAGGAGTAGATGTCATGATTAAATGAATGGCTTGTGAGTTATTGTTGTTCTGGTTATTGTTTATAGGTTCCACTGGCGATTGAAAATGTCCAACATATCGGTTCCATTGATCACCCATTTCTATACTATATGGAGACTGTGGAAACATTGCTTCACTTTTTGTGCCCTTCCCGTTATCTAATTCAATTACTGTTTGCTCAATTTCCACAACAGGATCCTCAAAGGTCACTCTTAGCTTTAAATTCTGGGAAGTTCTACTTTTTGAAGATGGTGACTTAAGAGCACTTTTAGGACTGTTTGTAGTTTTCTGTGTAGCACTGTCAGTACAAGGCAGAGGTGATTCTTCAGTAGACTGGGTCCTGACAGGACTTCTTATCTGATGCTGACAATCATAGCTTTCAGCAGTAGGGGAACAGCTTTGCTCGTCTGATGAACCAGAGCTTTTAGTGGCAAAAGGAAACATTCTGCCTACTGCTGAAGTGTGCTTTTTAATCATCAAGTGCAATTTTTCAGTGCATTCCTCTTTTTCAACAATGGGCTGTGGCCGTGGCTTGTCAACTTTTTTAATGGGAGAATTCTTCTGGTCTTCATTAAAATGGGAGTCAGTGTCTGACTCGCTAGAGGACCTCTGAGAATATCTCAGTCTGCACAGTTTCAGTTCCCTTTTGTCTCTCAGGACCTTCCTTGTGGACCCTGTTACAACACTTGCCTCCTGCCCCTCCTGAAATTCCAAAGAAAGTTTTTCTTGCGTGGAGACATTTCCAGAAATCTCTTCTCCCAGGAGTTGTCGAAGAATTTTGTCTGCTTCTTCGCCTTTTTGTTTCAGCGTGCCTCTCGTGGCAGTCTTTGATTTTCTGTCAGTGCTGTAGGTTGCTGCTCCCCCATTTGGATTCCCACCAGCCATCTTTTGATCCCGCAATAGCTGAGCTTGTTTCTTACTGGTCTCTGGCGATAAAGAGGAACTGGTGTGGCAGAAAGTGAATAAAAAAAAGCATCAGAAGAAAAGTTCAAACATTTTGTTCACTACTAAACAACCCCATCGGCTTTGAGTTTTCTAAGCAAAGCTGCTCTAATTATTTAGGAACAGTGATATAACTAATGCCATTTTTCATTTAAGAAAACAAATTCAATTCTCATTTTACCCACACGAGCTCTTGCAAATTAATAATTCATTCACCCTCAAATACACAGTCATTCCACTTCACAGTAATCCAGTGAAGCGCTTTGGAACCCCTTCCCAACATGAAAGGCGCTATTCCAAATACCAAACCAGGATTATTATTATCATTATTACAGCTCTATGTTCAGTCAATAAATTCTTGCTCTGAGTTGAAACTACCCATTATCTTTTCCTTCCTGTCAATTTAAAAGCAACAGATTTCACCTCAATGAGCTGAGATTTGATGAATAGTACTGCATAGGGAATAAAAGGGTATGCGAGAGGATTAAGGAGAGGGGATTAGGAGGGGTTAAGACTCCTGTGCAGAGTTAACACCAGCACGGACAAGTTGGGCTAAATGGCCTGTTTCAGTCTGTGCAGTCTGTATAGTTCTATGTAATTTATAGATTGAAGTACCAGACAGTTTGCGGACTTAAAAGCATCTCAACAGGTGTACGGAATGAGTGTCTAAACTTATTAAGTTATACGCCTAGAAATACTTTGAGATGCTGTTTAGTTCCGTAGATGAATTTTGTTTTGTACCGATAGTAGCAGTAGGNAAAAAATAGGGTACCTTGTGCATATCTCACAGAATCAGAAAATCACAAATTTGAGAGTCTCACATGCCTCAAATGGGTGAATTTTAGAAATTTTGGTGGGGTGGAGCACTATACAGAAAGTGAGCCAAAAATACAATTGAACTTGTCTAGTTGCCACTTACAGATCAGCACTCGTGCATGTTACAGGAAACTCATTGCTTTAAATTGTCTTTGTCTTCTGCTGCAAAGATCACAAATGCTACTAAGTGGTCTGCAAGACCGTTTCAAAAACATAAAGTTTATTTATTCTGAGAATTCTGCTGNAAAAATACGCTCCCAATCCCTTGAATATAGAGCACAATAGTCCCTCCATTCAAAAATTGTGTAAAATTATTTGTACAGATGTTACAACTATACATTTGGAAATTTATTAAGGAAGCCCAGTAATCATTAATCTGTCTGAACAACGGATTTTAAAAAATAAAGTATTCAAGCTCTAAAGTTTCATCCGGTTTTAAGTGGCTGTTGTACACATGGTGCATACCAGGTAACCTTAGAGTCAAACTGATTATTAGAAAAGTAATCCTTAAAAAAAAATCAGGCCACATGACTGATATAGAAACTGAGAACTGTAGCCCTTATGTGTTTAGGGGATATGGGAATAAAGAATCTGATGTGGAACCTATTGAGGAACCCAGAAAGTAGCAAAGCATGCCTCCCTACCAGATACCAATGGGTTTGAATCCAAAAAAGATAAAAGGGTTAGAGTCAGTTAAAATCAGCTTGCACTGTGTCAAAGCTCGAGGTAGATCCCAGTATTCCAGAGCAATTTTCACAAACTAGATGTGCTGGATTAATTGTAACTCCAGGTCTATGAAATTCACAGATGTCCAATTTTTGTCCTTTCCACTTCTGAAGTCATTTTGTTACTTCCCAGCTTCACAGAGGTGTTCCTTCCCAGCTTTACTCCTTCCGCTCCAGCCAGTCCCTTTACCAAACCCTCCAATTGGGTTTCTGTGCTGACCACAGCATGGAAACAGCCCTGGTCAAGGTGACAAATTACATTCTGTCCATCTGTGATCAGGCCTCCCTCTGTCCTTGAACGGTTCAGATTCTATCTCTCATACCGTCTCCACAAATGGCTTCTCCTAAGCCCCCTCACCGTCTTGTGTGGTGTTCCTCAGGGATCTGTCATCGGTCCTCTCCTCTTCAACCAGTACATGCTCCCTCTTGGTAACATCATCCACAGACATTGAGGCCCTCCTAATTGACTCGCGCCAGCACCTCTGCACCTCAGCCACTGGCATCCAAGGATGCACACTCCACCTCACCAAGCCAGTCAGGAAACTATGCGTCTTGTTTGACCCTCAACTGTCCTTTCTCCCACACATCTGTGACATGACCCGCTCTGCCTTCCCCCACCTCCACAACATTGCCCAACACCGCCACTGCCTCACCCCTCAGGCTGCCGAAACCCTCATACATGCCTTCATTACAACCAGACTCGCCTATGCCAATGCCCTGCTTATCGGCCTTCCCAACCCTTCCCTCCACAAGCTGCAGATCATCCAGAAGTCTGCAGCCCATGTCCTCTCCCGCACTAGGCTCCATGACGCCATCACACCCACCCTCGCCTGGCTTGACTATGGCCTTGCCCCTTCCTACCTCTCCAACCTGCTAACCCTTCATCAACCTGTCCGTTCCCTCTGCTCAGCAGGCTCCAGCCTGCTCCATGTCCCCCTCCCTCTCCGCCCCACCATCGGCGATCGGGTCTTCAGCCTCTCTGCCCCCATCTTCTGGAACTCCATCCCACATTCCCTTTGCCTTGCTCCCTACATTTGCCTAAGTCTCCGGTTAGTGATTCAATTTAGTTTAATAAGGTTAGGCTCTTTGAGCCAGCTGGGGATCTGATATAGTTCCCTTGACACAGGAAAGCACAGTATCTCTGAATATCCAACACTACCCAGATGTGTCTGTGCTTTCCTTGGATTGGGAAACTCTAAAATACTAGATTTTTCCTAGCACAGTATAGCTAAAGGGAATACTTTGAAACAGAAGGAACTTCTTTAAGTTTATTTCCCATTTAAACAAAGTATTTAGTGTGCAATTCAGAAAAAACATTGATTATTATTACAATGTTAGAGGTGTAGTTAAGTATATAAGCAGGTACCTTAGAGATTGAGAATCTGATCCTTCTGCTGGTGCCGTCTGGGCTTGTAACAAATGCTGAAGTTGGTCATGCAAACTAATTCGCTCCGATGTTTGCCTGCAAGCAGATGTACACACAGTAAATTGGGGGTTCTTTGTTAGATTATGCTGAAGGATTTCAATAATAATTTATGAGGATGGCAAAATTAAATCCGTAAATAATGAATGGATCCTCGGCTGATGAAAACAGATGCCGAAAGAAGGAAAAGTAGTTTCCACCTGGCCTTTAGATGGGAAACACATTTGCTCAGCAAATGGTTATATTATTTTTGAATATACAATACATTTATATAGCGCCTTTCATTTTGGGAGGACATCTAATGACTATATGTTGAAATATACCATAGATCTGGTATTTTTTGGTTTATGTACAACTCCTATGCAAGACGTGATAAGGCACAATATCAAATCCAAGGATTATTATTATTTGATAGAGGATCTTATCATGGCATTAAAATGTTTCAAAGCTCTTTCCAGGATTTACTGCAAAGTACGCTGACTGAGTATTCACAGATGTAGCCAACAGCCAATTTACACATAGAGATGTTCCTACAAACATGCCTGAAATGAATGACCAATTTTATCTGGGCTTGTAGGAGATAGCAGAAGAATCTCAGGAGAATCTGCCAGGATAGCAGGAGAGTCTCCCTTCTCTTTTCAAATAGTGTCACGGGATCTTTAACATCCACCTGAAGAGGCGACAGTTTAATATCTCAATCAAAGAGCACTTCTGAAAATGCGGCGCTCTCCCAGTATTGCATTGGAGCGTCAGCCTAGACTGTGAGGTGTTTGAAGTTACAACCTTCTGACTCAGAAATGAGTGTTACCAATTGAGTCAAGCTAACACCTGGCCCCAGGTTATTTATTCAATGCAAATTACACTATTTCTCCTTGTAACTGTTTTGGTTTGCATTTCAGAACGCTTGTGACTTACTCTTTTAGCTGTTTTGTTAACTTTACCACTTGTGATGCCAGCGACATGCAGGTTTCGACAACTACCAGGTAGCGTGAGCAGGTGGTATGTCCAAGCCGTTCGGCACTCTGAGAAGGCTTCTCTCCAGCCTGATTCTGTACAGTGACATTTGCTCCATATTCCACCAATGTCTAAACAAGAACATTTGAATAAACTCGGAGAGGATAATAGCAGGACTAATTCTGTGTATAAAAACCATTAAGAAGAAATATATCGAGAGAAAAAAAAGAGGTGGGAATTAGAAGAATAAGTCTTCTTTATTAGTTTAAAAAAAATCATCCCTTATTTGATTCTTTCTATTGGGTATAATGATTTGACAAGCAACATCACCATGTTCTCATATGACTTAGAAATATATTTGGACCTCCAATATCATTTGGTGCTGAATAATTCTATACCGTAAAAGAATACATTTTTGGTGATGTTTTCTACTCAAAACATTGTGCATCATAATTTTATTTTCTCAGCTAATATAACCTATTGCTTAAGATAGAAAGCAACATAAGTAGCACAGTAGCAGGAGTCTACTACTGAATGAACTTAGTGGGTTCATATACTTCACCATGGCATTACGTCTACATTTTTTACAAAACATAAATTTACCATAAAATCAGCTATTTCGGAATAATAAAAAATATAATAATAAAAATACACTTGCCATTACACTACATAAAAATATACTTACCCCCTTCTCAGACTCTCTTCCCGTCATCACCATGAGGAGGTATCAACATATATACTTATACAGTAATATAATAATATTTATAACAGGTACTAACATAAATACTTATACAGTAATATAATAATACTTATGGGTATTTAAGGGTTATTTATACTTATTCTTTCTTTAATTGTACAGTAAAACTCACATAATTCATCAGTCTGGATCATAACATTTAATATAACTTACCCAAAGTCTGAGTCGCAGGTGAACTGTATAAATTGTATAAAATCTGATTCAATGATCCACACTGCGCACGTGTAATTCAATGAGCCGGTCGGTATGTGTGCATGCAGTGACAGATCAAAACCTGAATGTTCTGACTGTTAGAATCTCACTTGATTTTATTGTATGGATAAATTTGAAGAAGTCTAACATCAATTTTAAAGCAAGAAAACTGATATTGATTGCTTTGAAACATCTTGTACCAAATGCGTAATTCATTAATAAAGTATTACTTTTTAAATGATCTGAGCTTTACATTATACTGAGTCTCTAAAACTTAATGTATTGTGTATTATATAATTGGTATTTTATTAATTAACCAATATTTTAGATTTTATGTAAATTCCACCCTCAAACAGGAAGGTCTCCTCCACTACGGTGGATAATTGAGGTTCCATGACGTATGGTCAAGTAGATGCCACCCCCAAAATGAGGTCTGATTAGTACAGCAGCTTTTACATGTATCAGCAAATAGTACCTGAAGACAACTTAGATGACCATGTTGGGAAGCAACATGAGCTGCACTGTTGCCGTACTGATCAAGTTCATCCAAAGAAATACCCTGTTCCTGCATATACTGTAGAAGCCACAGGAGTGTTTTTTCCTAAGATAAAGACCATATGAACAATTTTAGAAGAGAAACTCGAAATGTGTGTAACAATCACAATAATTTCTTACTCCATGAGAAGGTCGCAATAGAAAAGGTTGAACAGATAAAAATCCATCAAATTCATGGATTCTAAAAACGTTTCTATAATAAAATCTAAGAATATATTCCTTGGATATGCAACAACAACAACAAATTACATTTGTATAGCACCTTTCACGTCAGGAGGATGTCCCATGCAATAAGAAGAGCCTACAGATCAGAACAATGCAAACATTTTAAGGTGTTGGCTATTGGACATTTTGTAACAATACACATTTAAATATAAAAAATGTAAAAGGAGATAACTTGCAGACAATAAAGCAATATGTGGATAAAAACTGGCAGCAGAAAAGGTGGGTTAATAGAGTACAAGTTAATATACTACAAATGAATAGATTGGACTGCAGTAGTAAAATTATAATGAAACAATAAATAGGATAACTTGTAACATTGTATTTAGTTTTACTGTATGATCTTACCTGTCCGTAGCTTGCTGCATAATGTATAAGTGCAGGGTAACCATTCAGTGGACTTAACTCAGCAATAGCTTCAGTCTCATTCATCAACCAACGCAAGCATTCAAGCTGCCCTTGCTGTAGTTGCAAGATCGGAGACATAGTTTTAACCCCATTAAAAATTCACATCAATTTGTTTTCTGCAGTTAGTACTGCAGTTAAAACATTCATTTCAATGCACAATTTTATTTCTATAATACAGCATAACTGATTTTATACTCCTGTTAATGCTTTATAGATTATACTACACTTGCTGAACCTAATGTCACAGTGCATTACTAACCAGCAAACAGCATCAAGGGATCCAAACCATTCCTTTAGTTCTGATGAAGGTTGATACTTAAAATGCTGACCTCTCCTTCAGATGCTGATTGTTGATCTGTTTTAATTGTATCAAGGACCAGCTTTGTACCACAATATTATTTAATAAAGATGCAAAGCTCATCTGTCTTCCATATTGCTCAAGCAATGGTCTGTGCTATGGGTGCACCAAAGTAGATGAAATAAAATTGGAACGTATTCATAAATGGTGCTGGTTGGGATTTTATGGACCCCAACTTCCCCATTGAGCCATGAAACAGAGCTCCGCTGAGTATGGAACAAAGAGTGATGGGGAAAAAGGAGAGAAATTGGCAGTGGACCTAATTGTGGATTGTACAAATCCTGGGCAATCAAAGGGCAGAACAATGGGGGAGAAAATTAAAGAATAAATAAACTTAAAAACATACTGGATCTTCAGGAGCAGCATCCAAACCCACCCATAAGCAGGCTTGCTATGTGTCTGCGCTAGGTTACTGTCTTCTGGCTGTAACAAAGCTGGTAAGTGACATGATTTACTTTTCTACTCAATGGGAAACACAGAAAATAGTTGTTTAAAATTACATTAATAATAATCTGTGTACTTATTGTGTCACTGAAACATCTCAAAGTACTTTACAGAATTCACTTCAAAGTGTAATTGTATTTGTAGTTGAATAATGGGAGGGAAGGAGAGGCAAGTACTTTATCATATGGATCCTCTTTACTCCAATATCACTAAATTGACAAAGCAATGCTGATATACCAACACGTCAGCAATGAATTCTCAAGTGGCTTACCTTTACTGCTAACGCAGAAGCAGTAAGTTTCTCATTATTACGCTCAGTCAGGCAATCTTCTGCCATTAAGGTGGTTAAATGCTGTAAGCACTCAAGGTGTCCTTGTGAGGCCGCAATGTGCAGCAGATTATTTCCTTTATCATCATGAATTTTTTCCAGACTGTCAACTGTTACGTGTGGCTAATCGTCACATGGTAAACAGAAAAAAAATTATAGTTGTAATTTTCCCAATTAATCTTTTACAACAACACATCATCTTGCATTGCCTATGAGCTTTTAGCAATTTTTGAAACTGGTTTGATTTCAGATTCACAATTTACAGTTCTTATTAATGTATAGGATAGTACTTGATTTCCATTCCCCAAATAATTTTAAACATGGCATTTGCCAGTTGCTTTCAAGTTTAATTTGGCTGAGAGCTGGGAAAGAATAATCACTTCAACTCTTCGGAAACTACTCCAATAGCAGAAATCAGATGCACATTCATTCCTTTGAAATGAACGACAGGTTTCACTACCACATGGAATGATGAAGTATTTAAGTGATGATTTACAGTAGTTTTTTTGTAACATGGTGTGAATTATCAACTGACAGCTGGCCAGGCAAAACTTAATGATTTCATTAAATTGCAGTTTCCCTGGGATACATAGATTATATTGATAGTGACAGTGAGTTCCAGGTGTTTTTGTGCTTGAGAAGAGTTCCATCACAACTCATTCACGTTAGCAATACTTTATGAGTTATGATCTCCCTTACTCAAAGAAATAGTGGAAACTCATTGTAACAAGAGATATTCTCTGTGGAACAGCCTTACTCTGGTGGACAGTTGATAGCAACTCATTGATATGATTTACTCTAAAAATAAGTTTAAGCTGTAGAAATACATTTATTTTAATAAAATGCCTGGATGAAGCCAGCTTTTAAATATAAAAACTGACACGTCTAAATTCTAAATTGAAATGATTTGGTTTCTATCTAATAATTTAACTTGGGTGCAATGTAAACGTTCATACACTGCATATGGATATCTGAGCAATGTGATGACATTTTAGAAGATTGCATAAAAAGCTGTGCGGTGATATTTTGGTGGTAAGGAGCATTAGGTGCTCCAAAACATCACGTAGATAGAACATGGTGTGAGCCTATTATATTCCATAACATCAAATCTATGTTTGAAGGCAGGCTCCATTGGAAAATGGGTGTGCCTATCTCTTTCCAGTAGGGAAGGAAACAATTCTGAGGCAACAGGTTTAGGATATTCTCATTCACTAACTGACTATAAAACGTCAGAACAAACTCCTAGAAGCAGGTCATCTGGGAGGCACTTGAATCAGGCAGAGTTCTTAAAATAGGAAAATATTCTATTCTCCCAACACTCGGACAGGCAATCTCCCTACAAAATCTTGCAACCAATTACAAATAAACAACCAAAGTAATTGACCAATGATGTTGGGATTTACAGTACACATTCTGAATTTCCTCACTGAATGATAATAAACCCTAAATATAAATCGCAAAGTGATGCCCAGCAGTAGTAAATATACAAAAAGCATAGACTCCTCAGGGTTTATGGAACCATAACAATGTTTTTTCAATTAAGTCCAGTACTCTAAAATAAAACAACCCAAACCATTTATCCAACGGCAGTTTATGTATCCAACGCCAGTTTCTTTGGCAACACATTATGATGGTGCTTGATCACAGAACTGGAACTAACTGGAACCTTGGATAAAAGTCAAATAACCAAGACACTTTCACACAAACTTCAAGCTGTGATCTACTTGCAACAACACAAACGGCACTGAATTCTAATTAGTGTATCACAGAGGGCTCAGTGTTCTCCAGGTTAGTTAAATCAGATTCACAACTGCTAAGTAAATCGGCGAATAGCTGTGGACAAGTGAACCATAACGGTTTCTAAGCTGTTCGGCTCTCACCAGGCCTGGTGTTTTCTCCAGCACATTTTATGGTGCTCTAAAGAAAAGCACACCTCATACAAAATAAACATTGTTCATTTACAGTAAAGTATAGGTGCTGAATTGTTGCAACAACATCTAAAAAAGCATCAATGAAGTCTGTTCAGAAAAACTTTTGGAAGTATTTATCCGATGTTTTTTTTGCTTTCTCAACCAGAGTTAGTAAATTCAGTCTCGGAACAGCATTTCTGTGCATAACAAATAGAGCTTTGTTTAACACCATATTTGTCAGCACATCCGATATTCATTCCAATAGAACGGTTCCTATTGTATTATGACAAAGTTCTTATGCTAGTTTTACATTATATTAAAGCACATGAATACTAGAGGAATATTCCATCTCCATTCTTCAGGCTTTTTTAAACTCACAGTAAAAAATATATTTTTAAAAAACAGTTTCTCCAGTCTCACATTACAGAAAACGGTAAGTGCTCACTTACCAACAATGAAATCTGTCCTTCTCTGACAATATTTAAAATGCTTTTAACATTTTTTGCTTCCTCACTCTGCTCTCCTGGTCCTCCCATGTTGTTCCAGTTCCTAGTAGTGTTTTCCTCTTCTAGTTTGTTTCCCATTGAGATTTGCAGAGGCAACGTCCGTGGTCGAGAGTTTGGCATTGTGCTGCCAATCTTCTGTGCGTGTGAATCGACAAACAAACTTGAAGTTCTTCTGGTCACGTCTTTACTCTGAATTTCAACGTCATGTGCTGGATCACATTTATCTGGCGCCTGCAAGCTCTCTAAGCTTCCAGTTGCATGCCTGTGGTGATCTGTGACAACAGCATGTACTTTTCGCAACTCTAAGCTATTTACTGGTGACAAAACACAAAACTGTGTCAAATTAGCTGGTGAGTTCTCACGCTTTACTGCAGAACAGATTCTGCTGGCATCACCTCTCGTTCCTGAGCACACGTCTGCAAACCGTTTTTCTGAGGCAGCCTTTGTAACGGGACCACCGATTTGGCTAGGAAGGTGGTTCAACTTGATATAAGGCACGTCCAAAATTTCATCCATATCCAAATCATAATGCTCAAGTTCCCCAAGCAAAATACTATTGCCATTGTCTTTGATTTTAAAGCACTGCCCGTTACTGTGGCACAAGGGACTGCATTGATTTGTATTTTCGGGGTCATCTTGTTTTTTGTATTCTTCATTCAGTTCCTTTTGATCAGTATCTGTGTCACTCTCAGGGTTTTCTGGTTGATGCTTGAGCGGTGAAACCCTTTTCACAGGTCTGAATTTACTGTACACATCTGCGGTGCCTTTGCTTTTTATTCCACTGCTAACTGGTGCTGTACCACCACAAGGCCAGTTGGAACTAGAAACTTAACAGTGAATCAAAAACGTTAGGAAACAAAACAGCTGAAAAAGTATTCTTTAACCAAATCTCCTCTACACATATCCCAAACAGCAAAAGAGATCCAAGTTTTGATAAATAAAACATTTAACTGTTTCTTAAAATTAAACTTAAAAAAATAACTAATGGGTTATGCTTTTTGATATGTATCTCAACTGCAAACGTGACGATTGGACTCAGAAGGCAGGGGGAAGAGAGAGCATTAAAGTTTAAGCTGTAAAAAATGGCAACTGAACAGTTAAATTAGATTTTATTACTTACTTGAAATAAAGAATAATATAAACATAAGAAAGAAGAGAAAATGTGGAGAAAGGAAAAATATTGGATGTATACAACAACAACAACTTGGATTTATATAGCACCCTCCGCGCCGGACGGCGTCTCAGAGCGCTTCACAGTAACGGATCCCGGGGCCGAGCCAGGGGGAGGGGGGTGGAAGGTGACCAAAGGCACAGTCGAAAAGAAAGGTCTTCAGCAGAGACCTGAAAATGGGAAGGGAGGGAGTGAGACGAAGGGAATGAGGAAGGCAGTTCCAGAGCCTCGGGGCACAGTGGCTGAAGGCACGGCTGCTGAGGGTGGAGCGGAGGACGAGGAGGACGAGGAGGACGAGGAGGAGGCCAGATCCGGAGGAACGAAGGCAACAGGTACTGTTTTGAGGAGAGAGGTCAGAGAGGTAGGGGGGTGCAGAGGAGTACAGGGACTTGAATACGAGGGTGAGGATCTTGAAGTCGATCCTCTCTGGGATAGGCAGCCAGTGCAGTCTGGCAAGGACTGGGGTGATCGGGGAGCAGAGTTTTGTGCAGGTGAGAATACAGGCAGCAGAGTTTTGAATGATTTGGATTTTATGGATGGTAGTGGATGAGAGACCGGCGAGAAGGGCGTTAGAATAGTGCAGCCGAGTGGTGACAAAGGCATGGATCCGGAAACCAGGGTTTCAGCGGAGAGGTATTGGTGAAGACGGGTGATGCGTCGGAGGTGGAAGAAAGCAGTGCTGGTGAGGGACTGGATGTGGGGGAAGAAGGATAATTGGGGGTCGAACCTGACGCCGAGGTTGCGTACGGGTTCAGAGAGTTTTAGGGGGAGGTCGAGCAGGTGGAGGAGGTGAGAGCCGTGAAATTTTAGACGATGATGAGAGCCAAAGAGTATGGCTTCCGTCTTGTCAACGTTCAGCTGAAGGAAATTTGTGCTCATCCAGCCCCTGAGATCTGACAGGCAGGCTGACAGAACATCAGGGGACTGGGGGTCGCAAAGAGAGGTGGAAAAATAGAGTTGGGTGTACCCCATGTCTGCAGATGACATCCGCAAGAGGGAGCATATAGATCAGAAAGAGGAGGGGTCCAAGGATGGATCCTTGGGGTACCCCGCAAGTAACCGGGTGAGAACGGGAGGAGAAGCCGTTTGTGCAGATGTACTGCTGGCGGTTTCTGAGGTAGGACTCGAACCAGGCGATTGCGGTCCCACTGAGGTAGATGACGGAGGAAAGGCGGTAGAGGAGGATGGCGTGATTGACTGTGTCGAACATGGCGGAGAGGTCCAGGAGGACAAGGAGGCAGAGGGAGCCCTAGTCACAGATAGAGAGGATGTCATTTGTGACTTTCATAAGCGCAGTCTCTGTACTGTGGGCGGAAACCAGACTGGAGGGGTTCGAAGAGGGAGTGGGAGGAGAGGGGTGTGCGAAATTGGTTGGCAACAACGCGTTCTAGAACTTTTGAGAGGAAGGGCAGGTTAGAAATAGGGCGATAGTGGCCTGGGTTTGAGGGATCTAAGGAGGGTTTTTTCAGGAGGGCTGTGATGACAACAGTTTCGAGGGAGGCAGGGACTGATCTGGAGGAGAGGGACTGGTTGATGATGTCAGCCAGTAGTGGGCAGAGGAGGGGGAGCTGGGTGACCAGTAAGTTGGTGGAGGGGATCGAGGCAGCAGGTGATGGGTTTCATGGAGGTGATGGTGGGTGACAGGGAGGAGGGAGAGATGGGGAGAAGGAATGTAGAATGGGGGTGGTGGTAGGAGCAGATGATGAGGAAGGTGAGGGGAACAGAGAGGGCGTGGTGGTGGTGGGTGACAAGGGGCAGGTGGATGAGGCTACCTGGCGGATGTTAAGTATTTTAGATGATAAGAAGTCCATGACCTCCTTGCACTTGGCATTTGATACGAAGATTGAGGAGGTCTGAGGGGGGGCACGGAGGAGGTAGTCAGTGGTGGAAAAAAGGATTTTACGGTTGTGTTTAGCCTCCAAGATGATGTTGGAGTAGAAGGGTTTATATTTAAGAGGGTTTATATTTATTTCTACAGTCCTTAAATGTGCCGGGAAGTCTAGGGGACATGTGATATTAGCAGAATTATTGCAATATTTGTGGTTACTGGCAAAGTAATAAACCCTCCCCTGGGTCCACTCAATCCATGACTATTTGTGGGACACTGCTGCTCACAATTAGCTGCTGCATTTTGCCCACAAAATAGACAGTCAATTCACTTTACAATATATTCTGTGAAGCTCTTTGAGACGTCTCAACGACGTGATAAGGTGCTATACCAAATGCAAGGATTATTATTATTCTATGTATCTCATTGGAGCAGGCACTTCAGATAAGTTGTCCAGTTCTGATCAAGGGTTTCATTGTATTCACCCCATCCTCGCCCGACTCCACTGACTTTCCATCACTGAAAGGATACAGTTCAAGATCCTGATCTTCACCTTCAAAGCCCGCCATAGTCTTGCTTCCCCCTACCTCTGCGACCTCCTAACCCCCTACCAACCTACCCTGCCTCCTTCAAGACCCATCTCAAGACCCTCCTCTTCAAATGTGCTTTTGATCACCCTGCTTCCCCCCTTGCTCTCCACCATCTCCAATCCCAACCCCCAGCTCTGATCCGAAACACTGACTGTCCAGCGCCTTGGGACGTCCTCCCAACATGAAAGGCGCAATACAAATGTAATTTTGTTGTTGTTGTTGTGTTCAGGACTTTCCCAGCTTTAATGAGATCAGAGGAAAAGCATTTTATAACAGACACTGTTGCCTATACATTTTATAACTATTTATTATCATTAAGACATTAAGATCAGACTGCAAGATCATTTTTAGCACAATATATTCAAAACTAATTTCTTGCAAATCTCACATTGGCCAAATGCATTCTTCCCCACAGCTTTCTTGAATATTCCCAGAATATAATTAAAAGTTTGATTTTTAAAACAAATTGGGATTTAGCATGCTCTATCAGTTAACAAAGCATTATATGCACCATAAATTAGGTTAGTGGTGTAATACGTTTGATTAATAACGCTAGGGGTGAACCACTGAAAGACAGATTTACAGCAAAACATTTTCTTGATGAGTCAGCCTGGATCAGTTGATATGCCTGTCGCTGAGTCAGAAGATTGTGGGTTCAAGCCCCACGTTAGGATTTGGAACTCATATAGTCTAAGCTGACATTCCAATACATTGCTGTGAGTGTGCTGCATAGTTGGAGGTGCTGGCTTTCAGATGAAATGCTAAAAACTGAGGTCCTGTCTGCCTGTTCAGGTGGATGTTAAAGATCCCAAGCAATATTCAAAAAGAGAAGGGAGTGGTAGCCAGTCCAGAACCTTGGCATTTATTTGACCCTCAACTGTCTTTTCCACGCCACATCCGTGCCATGACTTGCTCTGCCTTCTCCCACCTCCGGAACATCGCCCTGCTCCGCCACTGTCTCACACTCCAGGCCATCGAAACCCTCATAAGTGCCTTCATTACATCTAGGCTTGACTATGCCAATGTCCTGCTTGTCGGCCTCCCCAACTCTTCCCTCCACAAGCCGCTGATCATCCAGAACTCTGCAGCTCGTGTTTTCTCCCACACCAAGCTCCTTGACCCTATCACCCTCTCCCAGCTCCACTGGCTCCCCATTCCCCAGAGGATAGTGTTCAAAATCCTCGTCCTTGACTTCAAGGCTTACCTCATATCAAACCTGTCCAATCTCTCCACTCAGGAGGCTACGGCCTCCTTCACAACCCCTGCACAGCCTGCCCAACCATTGGCGGTCTGGCCTTCAGCCTCTCTGTCCCCACCCTTTGGAACTCCGTCCCTTCACTTTGCACCCTCCCTTGCCTCCTTCAAAGCATGTCTCAAGGCCCTCCTCTTTGACCCTGCCTTCGGCCACCCTCCTACCCCTAACCTCCCTGCTCTCCACCCCCACCGATCCCAAACCCCCAGCTCGGGTGCTAATCCCTGAATGTCCACCGCCTTGGGACATCCTCCCGACGTGAAAGGCGCTATACAAATGTCATTTATTGTTGTTATCCTAGCCAACGATCCCCCAAATAAAATTGGTCACTCACTTCATGGCTCTATGTGAAATACTGCTGTGTGCAAATTGGCTGCTGAGTTCACCCGCAAAAAACCCAACAGTCACTGCACTTTAGTATATCAAGTGAAGCGCTTTGGGACATCCTCCAGAGGTAAAAAATGTTAATCTTCTGGATGTGAAACGTGCAACAATGCTTTTGAAAATTATTTCCCATAGTTAATATGTAAGTTATATGAACATTAATGCATTCAGTATGCACTGATCAAAATGCAATAGTGAGATTTCTAGAGCAAATTGCCTAATTATGAACAAGGGAGCCATAATCTTATGTCCTGTTGGAGTGTCACATTAACTTACAGGATCTTTATAGATGCAGTACTATATTTTATTCCACTAATGGATACTTGAAGAATAAGACATGAATCAACTTAAAGCCTAACTTTGTATGTGATTAGTATAATCAGTTTATGGTCCGCTGCTGTGCGCAAATTAGCTGCTGCACTCGGCTAAATAATAGTCATTACACTTTATAGTAAATCCCAATGTGAAATGTCAAATGCAAGAATTAGCATTATATTATTATTATAATCAGCTTTGCAATTCAGTCTCAATTGTGGAAGACAGTAAAGATCTTATCAGAAGTAATTCATTCCTCTATATATTGTAACTGATCAGTAAGCAAC